GTGCTGACCCCCGAACAACCTGGGTAACATTCTGTTACAGCCAGCCTGAAATATCTCAGATGCTGTGGTGCGTGATACTACCGCACAGATCCGTCTGTTAATACACCATCCAACCCAAATAAACTTTGGCTTCACTTTGGAATTGATCTCCGAATCACAGAGCTCTGCATTTCCCTGGGCAGCCGACCCTCCCGCAGGAATTTAACCCTCCCCGGCCCGACCGCTCTCTCAAAAACACAATGGTTTTGCTCAGGCAATGTTAGGGGTTTGTGCTCCTCAGTGCAATGTGAGGAGGAGTGGGACGGCTTTTGTATCACCAGTCCCGGGATGAAAACAGCCTTGACATCTCGCATCCCTGGCTGGCACCTGGCCAGGCAGGGGCAACCGGCTAAACAAACCCCGGCTACCAAAATGCTACTGCTTTAAAAAGGCTCTTCACTGGCTGCAGTCAAAGCCACGCTATGCCTAACGTCACCGAGTAACAGAAATAGCAGGCGTGAGTGAAGGGAGGAGAATGAGAGTATTAAGAGCGCACAGATTTCAAACATACTTGGCTGGGTAGCACGCTCCCTTCCTGCCGCTGTCCTTCCAGATGCGACGGAGCACGGGGATCTCTCACTGTCTGCCCATGAAGGAGGATTCTCTTATTTTCTTTTTTGCCTTTTTTTTTCTTTTTGAGGTTACAGCTCTAAAACTACTAGAATAATTTTTATTTTATTTTTTGTAGGAAACTTCATCAGCTGGATTTAAAAGCAAGGTTTGAGCAGGGGGAATTCATTTATATTTGTAGCTACTGGAATGTGCATGGTACTCCTGTGTGATGATAATGTAGAGGGAAAGGCAGGACTTGCTGAGAAAATTGCTTAGACCATAAGGTGCTTGAATGGCTGCTTGGAATAACAAGCTCTCTATTGTGTGTGTGCGCGTGCATGTGTGTGCATTTTGTACGAGTGCCGCAATAGCAGTAACTTAAAACAATGCAAGGTTTCCCCAGTTTGCCTTATTTCCCTCCTCTAGGAGTGAGAACTTATCTAGCTGTGGGCTCTGTTTGGAGAGAGGTGAAGTGTCCAAATTGAGTTAGTGCTGGAGTGATTTTATGAATGAAACAAAACACAGGTCCAGTGGAAGAGGAGCAGAGTGGGATGATGCATGCTGACCTCTCTCCGGTGGGATCTATCACGCCAGGGAACGGCAAAGATGTGCCCAGGCACAGCACAGACCTGCTACAAGTGCTCGCAGCACAGAGTGAGGCAGCTGCAAGAGGACAGCACCCTGGCCATGGAAATATGCTCCCAAAAATGAGCTATCATGAATCCAACTGAGCTCGCCAGCTGTGTGTGTGACCGGCTCCAGGCTTAGCTGGAGCACTCCATGCAGAGCCATTTGTTTCCAACCAAGCGTGCCGACGATCATGTGGCAGAGGAGCAGGCAGAGCTCCCTGAGCATCCATATTTCCTTCATGCATGACGCTTTTGCTGCCAGCACAGCTTGTATGTGAACATCGATAAAGCGGACGATGAGGGAGCAAGCTAGTGCTGGCTACATATGCCCAAAGCCAAGAGGAGAGGACTGTGCAGCACGGCAGGGTAGGGAGGAGGCAGATTTGACTTTGCAAGGTCCAAGAAAGCTGAGATGCTGGTGAAGCTGCTGGAGACCAGCCCAGAGGAGTGATGCCATGAAGGAGCACTGACCACTGCAGAACCACACTATATCTCCGCCCCTCGGATGTCTGTTCACAAGGGACTTGGGTGGGAAATAGGCTCTGTATATTTTGGGGTTTTTCTCCTTCTTTTTTTTGCACCCCTATCCCAATTGTTAAGTAAGGAGAAATCTGACTCTACTGGATTGCTCTCTTTTATGCAAGGGTTTTGCATGGCATCTCCATAGCACCCATCACCCACAGTATGTGGTAATAGGGAGAAGAGAAGCTGAGGGCAAGTCAGTAAGAGGATGAATGCTGTCCATCCTCTAGAGCTACAGAGGCCACTGTCAGGGTGTTTGACACGAGGGCAGTCGGACGAGGGCCTGGTGCTGTAATCCTGCTGCCAGGGAGCAAGTGAGAGGAAAAAGGCAAAGGAGTCAGAGCTGACATGGAGGCAAAGGGGCGCCAAACTCACTGGGAAAGCTGCAAAAATTAGTAAATTTCCAGGATAAAACAAACCCAACCTGCTCAGTGGAACAAGGCAGAGGGAAACATTTGCCTGCTGAGCCCTGCAAGGACAAGGCAGTCCAGCACCCCCCCTCACAGCATCTTCCAAACAAAGAGACAGCCTGAGCTCCATAAAATACAGAGCGCAAATGCACTTCTGTGTGCAGTGACCTTTAGGTTGGCACAGGCTTCTAATGTGCCTTAAAATGTGGGCATTTTAGCTACTTCTTCAGTGTTTCTCTCAGGTGTGTTTGATCTCCCTTTGCCTACACCCAGAGCCAGTATAAATTCAAAGCAACAGTTATGATTTTGTACAGTGTTGGGCACAAGCTAACCAAAAGCTCCCGCCTAACATGCTGCAGGGCACCCTCACACCACAAGGCTGTTTGGACAGGTTCACAGACAGCTCTGCCTGAAATCCATCATACATGGACACGTGGAAATGTGTGGGATCACACTTGGCAGACAGCATGAAAAAAACCCACGTGTTTACAGACATATAAAACCCACAGTGAAACCTACACCAGTTCGATAGATAGAAGATGCCTTTTTTTCTCCATCACGCTACTACAACTTGAAACGGCAGGTCAGGACATAGAAGGAGCTCCTCATTCAAGGAAAGTTGCTCTGTGTAAACACAGCAGAAATGCTGGACAGGACTTGGAGTGTATCACTTACACGAAACAGACAACAATTTGGCTGCCAGTGGTAAATCCAAACTTTGTTTTCCCTATTTTTGGGTCTTCCACTCCTTCAGAGTTAAGAGCTTAGCAAAGAGGTTTAAGCAATAACGCTGACAGGTCTGTAAGTTGCTGTTCCAAATTTAGGAAGGACACTTTTTTCCACAACCCCAAAGTAACTTTAAGGATTGCTGCAAGCACTTCCAATGATCCACACAATCTCTTTTGTCTCTTTTCCACAGACACACTAAAAAATGTCACTCCTCAAAGCTGTGTTCTTGCAATGATGGCATGAACCTTACACATGAGTAGCCTCAGTGCAGAAGACCTTTAGGACATGCAGACAGTGTATGTACTCAGGGACAGGTAACTTCTAAATGATAATTTGTGTTGCTCTGACAGATTTCTAATATGTTGGTTTCTGATGTCTTTCCTCTAGTGGAGAATGCAGACCTTCATTGGATGAGACCCTGCTAAGAAATGGTTCACCGTCTCCTAGCAGTCACACTTTTCACAGCAGAAAGAACAGATCTTCAGACCCCTGTGGCATGAACAAAGCTTCTGGCGTTAAAAGACCAGGAGGATGTCCCTAACTGATGAGCTGGAGAGCCACTTCTCTGCAACCGCCTACATGGTGACAGACACGAGCGAGGACAGCTTGTTCAGAATCAGACCCAACACCTCTGCCAATGCCACTGAGGATGGCACATCAGGTGCCGGTTCCATGGAGGACATGATCGCCATCTGCACCATTGGGACAATCCTCTCCCTCATGTGCGTGATCGGGGTAACAGGCAACGTCTATACCTTGCTGGTGATGTGCCATTACTTGCGATCATCTGCCTCCATGTATATCTACATCATCAACCTTGCGCTGGCAGACCTGCTCTACCTTCTCACCATCCCCTTCATCGTTGGGACCTACTTCATTCAGAAGTGGTACTTTGGGGACATTGGCTGTCGCATCCTGTTCAGTTTGGATTTCCTCACTATGCACGCCAGCATCTTCACCCTTACAGTCATGAGCACAGAGCGCTACTTTGCTGTGCTGAAGCCCCTGGACACAGTGAAGAGGTCCAAGAGCTACCGAAAGGCCATTGCTGTTGTCATCTGGCTGGTGTCACTGCTGCTCACCCTCCCAATGCTCATCATGATCCAGCTCGTGCAAAGGGACAACAAAAGCATCTGCCTGCCCACTTGGAGCAAGCTGTCCTACAAAGTCTATCTCACCATCCTTTTTGGTACCAGCATCGTGGGCCCAGGGGTAATCATTGGCTACCTTTACATCCGATTAGCTAGGATTTACTGGGTGTCGCAAACAGCATCCTTCAAGCAGACCAAGCGCCTGCCGAATCAGAAGGTGCTCTATTTAATCTTCACAATAGTGCTGGTGTTCTGGGCTTGCTTCTTGCCTTTCTGGATGTGGCAGCTTCTCTTCCAGTATTATGAATCTTTCTCTTTATCCCCCAAGGTGATGAAGAACATTAATTATCTGACAACCTGTCTGACCTACAGCAACAGCTGTATCAACCCTTTCCTCTACACCCTGCTCACCAAAAACTACCGGGAGTACCTGAAGAATAGGCAGCGGTCCCTTAGCAGCAGCAGTGGGTACTTCCAAAGGAGGAATCGATTTCAGAGGATTTCAGGAAGATCCCTGTCCACAAGCAGTCAGCACTGCACAGAGACGTACGTTCTTGCTCACGCTCCTTTGGGAAACAGCAGTGCCTGAAGGTAACATATATCTCCAAGAACAATCAATATTGACTTCAATGTTGCTTTGATTTGAAGTGTACATTGCAAAAGTGAAGCCTCAGCAGATCCATAACATGCACACATTTAGTCCAGAGGCTGTGCTGTATGTCTGTTCTCATTTTCTCCAGTGCCACGGATTTAATGCTAGCAACATTCGGTTGAACATCTATCTAAATAGCCTTTCACTTTTTATCTTTATGTTTTATAGTGTACATTTCCTCAAGTAGACATCAATAATGAAAACCTATAATAAGGCAATGTTTTTAATAGTATCAGCTGTCTCACAGAGTTTAAAACTATGTTATCCTATGAATAGCTGTAGTTTGCTCTTTCTTTAGCAGCATCGCTAAATCTGTAGTTGTATGAGGACTAAAACCAATGAAATAAAGACAAAGCTGCTGATGTTTGTTATATGCAATCCAGTTTGAATTTGGGGTAGGACTGAACAATGTGGATGAGCATATCCAGGGGTGTTTGTCCTGGTTTTGGTTGTATTCACATTTATTCTACACTCATGTCTGTGCACTGGGCTTGATTCTCCATTCACACAGGTGTCGGTAGTGGAGTTACACCACGACTCATGTTAGCAAGACAGGCTTCCCATGACAGTGACACAGACAGGGAACACTCAGCATCCCCTAATGCACTGACCCCAAACACATGAGCACCCATGTCAGGGAGCATCATCTGTTCTGGACAAGTGTATCTGCCCTGTGCCCTCCTCCAAGGAGGAGCTGGGAATCTCCAATGTTGTTACTCTCAGGGCATCCATCGACAAACTGCAACATCCAGCCTGAGGGACCAAACCTGTATCACCAAGTTCAGGAGGAAAGGACAGAGGGAGAGGAGGGAGGTGAGGAGATGTGATTTCCAATGGGCAAAGCTATGCTATCTGAAGTTCTTCATATTCTCTATTATAAAAGCACTAGTGCCCTATTAGCGGTATCACTTGTTCCCTTCACGGAAAATGATTTTGCTTTACTGCTACAAGAAGTGAATATAGCCCTGCCTGCACCAAGAACACTTTGCCTGTCTTGGCTTTCACTGATGATAAAGCATCATTAGTACAAATACATACTCCATGATGTCTGGCGCTTCTCCAGTGAGTCTAAAAGTACCTTCTCTGGGATGCTGCCAACACACATACAGGAGTCCTCTGCTTGCATTAGCCCTGTTACCTCATTAGCAAGGATATAACGATGCAATGCCAGCACAACACTAACCAAGTAACAGAATTAGAAACAAATTAATGCTTAGGAGTAAATTCAGAACTGCAGCGTGATACGCCATTTGGCAGTAAACTCCGTTCACTTATACGGAAACTGAATTTTTGTTTTAGCCATCTATTCCTCGTCAAGGCATTTAAATGGTCATTGCTCATGGGGGCAGTGAAAGCACTGCTTCCAGCCTCCCTGTGTGATACACTTGGAAAAGAAATTGCCTTTTTCACGTATGGGCTTGAAGTTTGTTATGTATGGGGAAGATTACATGTCATGAAAGGACTCTCATGCATATAGTTTTAACACTGAACTATTGCAGAAACTGGAAGAGCCTTGCTTTGTGTTCCCCAACACCTCCATGCACACCAGTCGCAGAGGTCCTCACCTGCACCCTGCTTGGGCAGTACATTGACCAGCAAGTCCTACTTCAGGATTAGCCACTTCCTGATTTCAGAGGGACAGACATTCCACTGTATTTGGCTTTTCCCTACACTGACGGTACTTGTTAGTTTTCAGACCCTCACTAGTTAAAGCCCATTAGAGAGAGTAAAGCATCATTCACCCCACTGTAATGAAGAGGGAGCCCATGGACGAGAGGTGAAGAGGCCTGCTATATTCATGGACCTCTTTTCCAGTTATATAGTCAAGTGTTCATCAGAATGTAAAGTCTGTCCCACTTTTTTTGAAGACTGCAATTTTAACTTCTCCTTGCTCAGAAATAGCCAGACAAGCTGCTCAGCATGAGCAGCTTCCATCATTGTGAAGGAAAGCCACTGTGGGTTGAGCCTTTAGAAAGCAAAGTCCATCTTTCTAAAATCAGGCAGTCAAAATGAGAGGGTTGTTTGCAAATCTCAATTAATCCAGGCTTTGCACACCAGTGAGGACAGTGCAGAATAGTTACCGAAAGACATGGGAGCAGATCTGTCACCAGAGTTAATCAGTTGAACCCCTTTTGTCCCCAGCAGTACTGCTCTGATTACCTTCTTCAAGCCCACCACAACCAACACGCCTCATAGAAAATATTTGCAAAAAGCCTGCCATGGCTCTGTAGGTCAACAGGTGCCCTGAAAGCAGCATGAGCAAGGTGCTGTGGAAGCGAGAGGTCCTGCCGTGGCCCGGGAGCTGAGCCAGGCTCAACGCAGGGTGCGGGGGGTCCCTGCCTCCCTGGGAGGATGCACAGCCTCAGCCCTGGGCTGCACGCTCTTATTTCTCATTTGTGCTGTGCTCTCAGCAGTGGCTTGCAACTGCATTTGTCAAATCAGCACAACAACGCCAGAGAAAAGAAGACACCCACAAGTCAGGAAATGATTGCAGGTGATGTTTCTGTCAACACCGGGTCATCTTTGAATGATGAGATGTTTCACTCAAGCCTTTCAATTCCCACCTCAGGCTAGAGGTTTGGTTTTTTCTTCCTTCAAACACTCACATCCATCACCGCTCAGCACAGGCAACTGTAAGTGAACATTATTCCAAGTCTACAGGTAAAAGCAAGGCTCCAAGCAGTTCAGATGCACCATGTGCCTCAGCTCTGCATCCCCAGTTAACTTTATGGGGCATTAGCCACACACAGATACCAAACATTAGACAGCTGCCCTCTTCCTGAAACCAAACAGTAACCCAACCATGAGAGCTCAGTATAAATGGGGGAGCCAGAGCAGTCAGGGAGGTCTGAAGAAGGAACTGCCTCCTCCAAGATACAGATTAATTGCTCGGTTAACGATAGCTATAAAATAATTATTGTGCCCTATTTATTCCTCCTTGCAGAAACCGACCATCAAAGACCCAATAGCTGATTTTTGCACAAGCAGAATCTGAAATCAGTGTGAAGGGGATGTATGTGTGCACGTGGCTGTGTGCTTGCATGCCCCAGTCCATGCTCTGACACCTGCACCCTATTTGCTAGCTCTTTCTTTGTGGAGTGAGACCAGAAACACTTTCATCATCCTGAACTTTAAATTCCCCTGTTTCTGGGGCATTTGGTGCCCCACAGACTGGATTTCAACAGCTGAACTCCAGGCAGCAGAAATAAAATCTCCAAATTTTTGCTAATTTAAGCAGGGGGGTGTGTGGGGGGCTGGGTGTGTGAGCATTTAGCAATGCTTCAAGACTCTAAGAAAGTATAGCTGTAAATACACCATGCAAGGTGTCCAAAAAGAGGCAGGAGAGAGGTGCTGGCCCCTGTGGTGCTTCAACAAGGAAAGAAAGGCCGGGTACCCACTCTGGTGGCTGAAACAGGCAGCAAACTACAGCTGGGACCAGGCAGTGTTTTCAGTTGGATAGTGTCTTTGCCAGAAAAGGATGACGTTTGTGTTTACCCAAAGTATTTGCAAATCCACCCAGAAATTTAAGAATCCTTCTGGAGTTTTTTTTCCCTTTCTTTTTCTAAATACTGAATTGTCACATTTCAGCCTTTAGGAGGCAAAACAACACAATTTCTCACTTCAAGATGAAGATTTATCCATCAGTTTGCTTGCACTTAATTTCAAAAATCCTCTGTCCAAATCTCAGGACTCTTTAAAGAGTCCCACAGTTCAAGTAGCAAAGCAGAGAGCAGCTGCCCATGGTGCTGTGCACCCCTCTGCCCAAAACCTGTCTGGATGGGGTGGGCACCCACAGTGGGGAGTGGTGCAGCGCCCACCCTCTGCCCAATTCCCACTCCCAGAGTCACAGCAATCCTAGACACAAACCTCTCTCCTCGCCCGCTGATGGATTTAAGCTGATCTACAGCCCATGTCTGGTCAGAGTCACCTCCTCATTCCTGCAACGCAGTGACCGCAAGGGTACAAGATGAAGCTGCTTTGGGCCACCTTTTTCTTCTATGTGTGTGACCCACCTTGCTCCCTGGGAGGTAACGAGGGCAGCAATTCTGCCCCCTACCTCAGACCAGACAGAAAAACCTTGGCACACATGCCCAGAAGAGGATCTGGGCAATAAATCAACACGCACAGATTTGTTTCCCTTACAGCTGCACGATGAGCAACAAGTGGCAGGGTGAGGAGTAGGGCCATGAGGAGCTCCTTAGCTCAAGGTCACTGCTTCTGTACGTGGCAAGTTGTGAGAGGTGTGATTTTGGCAGGTGATCTCCCTTCATTTCTCTGGAGTGCTTGCTAGGAAACTTTTGACTTCAGTGTCTGCTTGAGGGCATTAAAAGGAGAAGCCAAACGCTGAGCAGATCTTGGAAAGCAAATCTGCACCTTGGCTGAGCTGTCTAGAAAAATACATTCCTCTTGCCGGTGCTGTCCCACTTGCGCCTGCTGTGGCTGCCATACTGAGATGGCTCCACTGAAATCGCCAGCCTCAGCCATGCCAGAGCATCCCTCTGTGCAGCGCCCAGAGGAGCTCCAAGCTTCCTTCTTCTTCTTCAAATGTGTGATCAAATCCCGAGACCCTCACTCAGCTATTACTCCTTCTCCAGATCAAACTCCAGCTGTTTCCAGTGCAAGGCTGGAGAATCCTTTGGGCAAAAAGTATCAGACCCCTTCTCGTATTTGACCAGCTTTGCTTTACACAGGCACGCTGAATATTGTTCTATGCAGCTGGATCTGGGCCAGCTCTGCATGGGGATCTACACCATCTATTTATTGCATATCCTGGAGAAAGGGTCACTTTGAAATTATTCTGATCACTTTGCATCTCCAGATTGAATATCTCAACTCTAAGTCCTGCTTACACCGTGGTACACCTGATTTGCAGTTACGGATACTGATTTAGACACATCAGAAATCAAGATAATTGAGGAGGCAGTGTAAGAGCAGAG